TCTGCCTTGTGTCCTGTCCAGGGTGTACCTTGCCTTGCCAGGATAGACTCCAACTCCCCCGTAACCCTGCAGTGGATGGAGTAGTTAGAAAATGGGAGGATTCAGGCCAGTGCAAGTGGTTGATGTTATTAATCCAGAGATAACAGCCTGCTGTGGATGAGAACTAGAAGGAATTTCGACAACCTCATTTGAGTGGCCACATTCTGTCCAAATAATCTGTGTCAAATGCACTGGGCGGCAGTTTTTTTTTTTATGAAATCTAAAATATGGATTTTGTTCATGTTTAAAACCTCATAGAAATTGCCATTCAATCAGACCGGTAGTGTTTTACACAGCCTCTGGGTCGTCTGGAGAGCTGACAGGCCTGTTTTTAAAGAAGTCCGGGAGCAGTCTTTGCTGTGTGGTTTACAGGCATGCACGCACAGCTTGTGAAGCTTGACCGGATTCTTCATTTAAAGGATCAAGCCAGACTTGGAGAGAGCTCCCTTCTCTCTCGGTAGCAACAACCCCACCATCAGCACACACTCTTTTCTCCAGCCTTGGTCACTTTTTGACACTGTCAAGCTATGGCAATAATTTATTCCCACGCAGAAAACGCTGTAGTTGTTGGTGGTTTTCATCCTATAATCACAAATAAGGTTATACAGTCATTCTGGTTTCATACAGATATATTTCATAATCTACGAGCCCTTCAATTCTCATGTAGATGGAACTTTAATTTGCTTTAGTTTGTAATGGCAGGAGGGTGGTGTGACATGAGATACTGAAAGCTGACGAGCAGACTAAACCCTTTCTTCTTATAGCAACACAACACCCTACCCTGTTTACTCCAGTGTGGATGTAGGATGGGCCATAGGATTAAATGTATGCTGTTTTGATTAGGGGTGGCACAGCGGTTAACATTGTCACCTTGCAGTGCTGAGGATCTGGGTTCCATTCTGGACCTGGGGTGCTATCTGTGTGGAGTTTGCATGTTTCCTGGTAGGTTAATAGGTCTCTGGGAAGATCCGCCCTGGTGTGAGTGCATTTGTGTGGTGGACTGGTGCCCTATCCAGGCTGTACCCTCCTTTGGCAAGACAGGCTCTGGCTCCCCTGCAAACCGGAATTGATGGAGATAGAAAATGGATAGGTGGATCTTTTCATCATGTCAAAAAAAGATTATTTTCTTCTTTACAGATCATGTAAATACACAACATAGGACAGAAGCTCTAGACTAAACTGTGTCCTGCCTATATTTAGGCAACGCATTGTTTACCCTACGCAGTTTTGTGTGTGGTTTTCCATTTTGAAAAGATTATGGAAGAAGTATCCCAGGATGTCCCAAGAATACCCTTGTCTTTGCATATAGAATAAAAATTCTTACTGAACAGTTTTGCATCTTGATATTGGGAATGTTCTAACAATTTTGTTGCAAATTGGTTGCTTGACAGCTCTTATTTGAATGTTCAGTTATGAATAAATTTGTTGCTGCTTTACTGGTTTATGCACTATCATCTGGAAAAGAGGTTCCTTTGCAAGAAATTATTGCATTGTCTAATTATTATATGCTTATATTTGCTTTTCATGGCAAAGGATCGCAAAGAACTTTACATACAGAAGTCGTCCCAATCCATTCCCCAGTGCAGTGCAGGCCCAGCCGATCAGAGAGAGGGAATAGGAAATCAAGGAGGAAGGCCCAGAACCGAATTTAGTAAGGATAGCACAGTTAATGGCCCTACTCCTATGATCAGTGCTATGGAATCTTTAGTGGCCAAGAAGTTGTGGACTCAGTTGCAGGTCTCATGTGAAGGATGACATTTCCCACAGCATGGAGACTGTGGTCACCATGGTGACCTTTGTTTCCATTGTTTTGGAAAATGTGGTTCAGGGGAGAGAGCACCATCTACGGGTCTACCCATACCACTGCCTACGCCAAGCTGGTTTTCCTTCCCCGTACCGACCAGGCCCAGCCTTTCCCTACCTCCCATTAGCCGACAAAGTCAGGTTACAAGATGGTGATGCGGGTGACGCAGAGAACCTACTTCACAAGCCCAGAGGAAGCAACTCCTGGACACTTGTTGATAAAGTGACCTCCTCAACAGTTAGTAAGTAAACCAGAGGATTCAGCCGCAGGTCTGCAGGAGAATAAGATACCAGGAGGACAGGGCAGTCTACTCTCAAAATGCTACATTAAAAAAAAACAACAACATTTATATATCTGACAAAAAACACTCTTTTATTACAAAAGTAAAAGTGGCACCATCTAAAGAATGTTTTATTACTTTTCATAAATGATGTTCATATACCAGACTATGCCAACAATTTACATGTTCTGTAACATTACCTCAATATGTAACTTATGTGTAATCTATTTTTGTTGGTTTAAGAAACAATTAAATATTTGTCAGAACAGGAGGCTTTATTTGGGTCTGAAAGTATAATTTTGAGTAGCCTTCCTGGGTTGAAGTGCTGTACTGATGGGCAGAGGCGCTCACCTGTTTAAGTGGAAGTCCTGATAAACTGTCATCATGTTCGCTCAGGTTTCCTCTCTCGATTGACAAATCTTATCAGAGATTAAGACCTCTGTGACTCTTTTCTTGAGAGCTGGTTGCTGCTTGGAATTGCATGAAGCTGTGTGCAAAAGACCGCTTTTGTTATGGGAGAATTTGTTATGGCTCAGAATTTGAAGTGTTTTTCCTGCAGTGCAGTGCAAAGTATTTTCCTCCATATAAAGTTTCTTGGCCCTAGTTACAACATGGTTTGGTTAAAGTATAAATAGAGTTTATGGCAGAATTGAGAGATTCAGCGAACGTACTTGGGGTGTCTCCCCGAGCTTTGAATAAGAAATGTGTGATAAGGGTGTGAAAACTCTTCAGAAACAACACAATGGCACCAACCCAAAGATGGAGACATGTCACGGCTGAGTGCGTACCAAGCAGTAGGTGTGAACTGCTTTTAATGATGTGTTGGAAGATGTTTTTCTCTAGAGACAGAATAAAAATCTGTTCATACCCTTGAAGGTTTGTGTGTTGGACGTACGGAAACTGTACGACTGCTTACATAAGGTCTTTTGGTCCTCTGCTATAAACATATGCACAGAGCTAGATTGTGTTTTAGGATTGTTGCCTGGTCCTGTCATTCCAGAGTTCTTTGACACAGTTGTATATATTAAAAAAAAAAACTTGACAGGATGTGAAGCAGGGTTGGCATCTTCATTAGACGCATATCATTGCTTAATTACCAGGTGATAATATTAGAATAAAACATTTAAATTAGTAGTCTTTGTTTGAACAGTGTTTTCTAACTACTGTCTCATTAAGACTCGAGGTGTTTTGACCCAGTCATCCTGATTTCCTATTGTAAAGAGAATACTGTCTTGCACTGTATTTAAATTGCTTAGATATGGAGGGTTCTTAATGAACTATGGAAATTATGCACTGTTTATTTTTATCTAATGATAAGAAGTCAAAAGTATAAAAACCCACCAGGCCATTAGTTTTTTTAACAGATGCAAATGGTTTTGTTTTAATATCAAGCGCTCTGTGTTCCTGCCTTAGATGCTGTCACTTAACAAAAGAGTCCATGCAAATTATATGCTTTTATTTCTACATAATTAGTACCCTGCCTCTCCTTTCCTTGTCAAATCAGGTCACCAATATATTAGCTCATGTGAACGGCTGCCTTTGGGAAATTCACTTCTGACTGCCTTCGAGGTGCTCCAAGGGGCAGCTCTTCTGCTGTCTCCAGTTGTGTGACAGGTACTTTTTTTTACCTGTGACGTTTGGACGTTCAGAGATAATCTCATAAAAAGCTGGTTTTCAGATTTAAAAAAAATTCTCAAATTAAATAAAGTAACCTGAGATCTGTCATCTTATAATGCTAATTTACAAAGATGTGCAGATGCACTAATCTGATTCTTATACAGACTTTAGGTTCTGTGCATGTCTTTAAGTGATATTGTGTATGCTTCGCAGCTAGAATTACCCAGAAGAAAAAGTGGACAGCGTTATATTAATATAACATACTATTCGGAAGCAGATCTTTCCTGATTTTGCAGGTGACATTGAATTAGTAGCTGAAGAAGGCAGTGGATGACCATGTGGTTAGGGGGTGTCTGAGGCCAGCATGACCTGGTCAAATAATAAAAGCCAGAGACAAAAAAAATTGCTGATTGCTATTGAAATGAATTAGACGTAGCCGAAGCTCCAGTTTGTGTCTCTGTGCTGCTTCAGTCACTGCAGGCTGTTCTTAACTGAGACGGTGAGTGTGTGGTGGAGTCTGTCATTTTCTGGAATTAAGCACCAATCTCTTAAAAAATGACTAAGTCTCTTATTACACCAACATCCTGCTGCAGCAATTTTGTAATGTATTGCTCAGGATTTAGGCCCAAATTGAATGAAATAAAATGCACTCAAGCTTATGCATATAACTACAATTAATGACCAAAAAGAAAATATGACCTTAACTGTTGAAATTAAGTTTAATTTCTTAAAGAAACCTGTCTTTTATTTCTTACTGCACGTTAGTACTGCTCAGGATTTAGAACAAAATTAAAGCACTTACTGTAGGCCTATGCATATAACTGTAATTAATAGCAAAAATGAAAATGTTCCCTTATAGCTGTTGAAATTGTCATTCCTTAACCAAAATTTGTGTCTCTTTGATTTCTTACTGCATGTTAAATATGTCGTTTTTTGTAACGCATCACATTTTAGATAATAAACGTGGCTTCTTGAAGACCTAAGCCGCTGAATGGTTTCATATTTTTTTTTAAAAGAGATATTCCCCCTAGCCGCAAATGGCTCGGCGAATCTCTCCTGCTGTTTCGGACAATTGATGTCCCTCAGTCATCAGTGAGTCCACACCTCGTGCCAATCCCAGCACTGAAAGGTCGAAAGCATTAAAAACCAACGTAGTGGTTCCCCAAAGGCAGAACTGACGGATTGTTTTTTTAAGCCACACGAATGACAAACTGTGGTTTGGGCTGAGATCCTGGAGGTAGAGGTGAGTGAGAAAGCCTGGGCTGACTCAGAGCTGGCCCTCCCACAGAATGAACAGCGGGGTTCCTGAGTCATCATCCCAGTTTGTTTTAACTCTCTAAAGGCAGGGTCAGCCGCAGGACCTAGCTAGTCATCATCCTCATCTTCATCGTGGGAATTTGAGTGGCACTGTGCTCATGCTCTGCAGTGAAGAAAAAGAAGAAGGGCAGTCTATAAGTTATTTTTTAAAGGCCGTTGGTCCTTTATCCCATAAGTAGATAAGATAAGATCACTTTATTGGCCATATACATTTTCTTGCATCAGGAATTTGTCTTTCCGCATACCCCAGCTTGCTCTCCATGAGACACACAGACAGGGAGAGAAGCTGGGGGTCAGAGCACAGGGACAGCCATTTAGATGGCACCCCTGGAGCAATTGGGGTTAAGGGCCTTGCTCAGGGGGCCACTGGAGTAGGATTCATCTGCCGGCCGCGGGATACGAACCGGCAACCTTCCAGCCACAGAGCCAACGAATACAGTGATATACAAACCACATTATTTCTCTATAGTGGCTACAGTTTTTCTTTTTCTCCCAAATGTTTATAGGCTTTATTAACAAACTAAGAAGGTTACAGACAAGAGGGGGCTATCCGGTCAGTCTAGCGATTGGTAGTAGCTAATTGATCCCATGATGATATCTGCTGTTTCCTGAAGAAAGCCAGGGTATTGGCTTTGTCAGCATGGCTGGGCAGCTCTCACAACCCTTTGGGTAAAAAAAAAAGTTTCCCGTTTTTAATATCTAAATATGCATTCTCCTAGGAGCCCTTGTGTCCTCAGGTTTGTGTTTCACTGGCTGTGTCATGTCAGTTGTTGTGTCCTTCGAACGATGTCTGCTCTCTCCCCGTCAGAAGCGCGTTGTCACCCAGAATGTACTTCCTCTCTGTGGTGGGAAGAGTGTACTGGCTGAACCGTTTTGTGGCTCACGGGGAGTCATATTTAAAAAGTGAGGGGACAGAACTGCCACTGTGGCATCTTCACCAAACAGAAAGGAAACCACAGAAGCTATTCACAGGCACGGCTTTGCAAGATGCCTTTAAGAGTGTACTGTGCTTTGTTTCTATGTGTGAGATTAGCCCTGCCCTACTGTAAATTGATTTTTCCACCCATCTCATAATATCTTCAAACAAGGTGAAAGCCTTGTTTACCCATATTGCAGGGAGGTCTAAAATTTCGATGCGACAGAAGGAGAGAAACTTGTTTCCATATTTAGCTCTAGTTCTCTAGTTTGGGACACAGTAAGGGACCTTGAGCTTGCATCCTATTGTGAAGACTGGTCTGCATTTCAGAATTTCACCGGAAATAACAGTCATAGCAAAAATCTATTTACATTTTTATTTGTTCAGCATTAAAAGCTATCAGAAACTGGATAGCACACATTAACCCAATAACACGTTTGTTAATATGGGATACATTTTGCTCCTATTTTAAATTTTAGTACAGTAATGCAAGGTTAGTAAGAGAATGGTTTACTCTACACCCACAGCTCGGTCTGTAAAAAAGAGTCTCCTTTAAAAGCATCTGTCCTTTATTTTACTTTGTTTCATTACTGGTCTTAAGGTGTACAGGGTTCTTAAGGTGGATGTGTTCTATTCTTTCTCTAAGCAGGTTTACACCCTGTGCAAATGAAACTGTTTAACCCTTACTTTGCACAGTAAAGCACATGTGAGTGACACATGGCCTTCCAGAGCCACAGCTGGCAGGTTTGGTGCAAGACAGAGGTGTTTCTAAGTGGCTTGGCTGCCCAAGTTCGATTAAACACAAACCAGCACAGTGGATAATAATAATGATGATGGCTGGTCATGTTCTGAGATATTGACAAATTCGAAAAAAATGTAAATGAGCGGTGGCTCTGTGGCTCAGGATCTGCACCTGTGACTGGAAGGTTGCCAGTTCAAATCCCGCAGCCGGCAGAGGAATCCTACTCCATTGGGCCCCTGAGCAAGGCCCTTAACCCCAGGTGCTCCAGGGGCGCTGTACAATGGCAGACCCTGCGCTCTGACCCCAAGCTTCTCTCTCCCTGTCTGTGTGTCTCATGGAGAGCAAGCTGGGGTATGCGAAAAGACGAATTCCTAATGGAAGAAATAGTATAGGGCTTATAAAGTGATGTTGTGTTATGTTATGTTAAATGGGGTCATGTGCAAGCAGCTTGTTTGACCCTATTCTTGAGGGCTATATTCCCTATGAGGGAGCCTGAAGGTCAAAGAAGCTCATCTGCCAGGGCCTTGTATAGTGCTATAATTCCTTCCATTTATCGTTTTTAAATGGGCTGCATTATTCTTTTCTGTAAACAGACCCATGCCAATATCATTGACTTCTGGATTTTATAGTTGGGAAATATGTTTCTCTGAAGAGGTGATGATTTATACAATATTCATCATCTTAATTGTCTTGTGTCCGAGAACTCTGACATTTGGCTTTGGGTATCACATGGGTTTGTCATAGAAAGTCACATGCAAAGAGGCTGAGCCCTTTCTCTCTGCTTCATGTTGCTGTTTGTTAATGTCTTCTGTTATCTCTTTCTTTCCCGTTACACAACAAATAGTTCAACGCATTTATTCAGTGGCTGTTAAAATCTCTTTAATTGTTCACTGAGGATCATTCTGGATCAGATTGATCAACATTGTTTTTAGTATAATTAGCAATAAGTCATAATCCTATACATTGTTTTCATGTACTGTACAGAGGAATGACTGCAGGGCAGCAGAGTTTCACAAGATGGATGCTTAAGCTCATTTAAAAGTACCCAAAGCAGTGATGCAGAACTTCAAGATTTCTTTCTGCCTGAGCTCCTATCTATCTAAGTGAACTGATCATTAGCCTAATTGGTTAATTTAACACTTCTTAAAGGCCTTGAGGCATCAGTGATTTAAATGTTAATGGTTTCAAACTTGTTGGTGCACAATTCTGTATCGCTAGCCTAAAGCTGCAAATAGTAACACAACCAAAGATATTGCAATCTAACCCACAGGATTTATTAACTGGCGAGATATTGGCTGCGAAGTTCTGTTGGATCATGACAGGGTCTCGGTAAGGTTGTTCTCGACAGCAGAGAAAAAGTGATGGCGTGCCTTTCCTGTTAACTCAAGGAGTAAGAACCCGATTGCTGTTGCACAGCAAAGGAGGTGCTGTTTAACTCGCCCAGTGCAACACTCTCATGCCGAACATCTCGGGGTGCCTTGCAGATGGCTTCAGCGACAGACGCGCGCTACGGGCAGAAGGAGTCCTCCGACCAGAACTTCGACTACATGTTTAAGATCCTGATCATCGGGAACAGCAGCGTGGGCAAGACCTCCTTCCTCTTCCGCTACGCCGACGACTCCTTCACGCCGGCGTTCGTCAGCACGGTGGGCATCGACTTCAAGGTGAAGACCATCTACAGGAATGACAAGAGGATCAAGCTGCAGATCTGGGTAAGGGCTCATGCTCAGGGCGGGGGGGGGGGGCGGGATATGGAATTTGTCTCTTACCCACAAGCCCCTGCTCCTCTGAGCTCTTCAGCCGTTCATGCCCATGGGCACCTGGCTGTGCCTGCTTTTAGTACTTGTGCCATCCTGTTTCCTCACTTCAGAGCAATATATATACAGTATGTCCAATATATCCACAGAGCTAACTTGTTTTTTATGTTGACCTTACTGTTTTCAGCCATTTGCACGTTTTTTAAATTGTGCATGAAAGTGTGCAATCGTCTGCTCCAGTTACACATTCCATAGTAATTAATTTGTCCTGACTAAAGTGAGAAACATCTCTCCGTAGCCAATATAAGAGGGTTTGCCGCCACACAAACGTGCCGCGGCAAACCCATTCTGTAGGAATGAGCAGCTCTGAACAGCTGGTCACCAGCCATGATCCTTGAGAAACAGGTCTTTTACCTTTAATATATTCCACTTAATCTAATAATATATTCTTCAGCTAATTCTAGGGTGATGACCCCCAGTTAAACCAGACAAGGACTGTACAGGGGAATCTTTATGATTTTGGGTAGCGATGGTACTTTAAATCTAACTTCTCATACTTGAAGGGTGCAATAGAAAAGTTCAGGTTCACCATCTCTCCCTCGGTATGTTTGGGGAAGAAGGCACCTGGCCTGTTTGAAAAATTCCAAAAGTGAAAAACTGTCTCAATCCCGTTTAATGTCATTTAAGGTGGCGGACAGCTAGAGAGTTCACCCCGTCTTTACCTACAGTATGTGCCCTTGGTTGTAGTTGTTCACAAAGAGAAGCCTTTTACCTTGCAAGGGTGTCGGGGAGACTCTGCGACCAGAAATAAGAGGTGGTTGGGGGACCGAAATTGGAAGAGAGACGGGCCAGTTCATGTGAGAAGGAACAGATTTTGCTTTCACTGCTGGAAGTCAGCGGTCTTATTGTGGCGGAGTCGGACTTCGGAAGCAGAATTTAGAACGCTGACGCCATTGAGGAAACTGGATGCTGTTCCTGTGTGTCTTTGGAGTTAGATATTAGATGTCTCGGGTCATTTCAGAAGGTGACTTTATCCTAAAACTGGCTTGCAAGGGTGATCAGCCAGCTTCTGTTTTCTACAGCAACAGCTTAGTAGCACAGAAAGTCTTTTTTCCTGATACTGGAAAAAACATTTCCACCCCCCCACCTCCTGCCCCCACCTCTGTGGAGTGCATCCTGAGGTCACCAGAGCCCACATCACTAGGGAATTTAGACCTGCAAAATTTTAATAACACTCCCAGCCTTCACAAAAGGTAAAGCATCACTTTGGCTTCTCTTGGTTTAAATATCAATGTAAATTTGAAATCTTAACATGTTGTTCCCATTCACCAGTTACTACTTTTCTGTTCATTGTATTCCTCACCATTTACCCTTGTATTCAGTTGTCATATGCAGTAAGAATGGTTCAGTATGAGAAATGTGGTGCACTACTTTAGCACTGCAGAACCACAATGCAATTCTGTATCTAAATATGTTATATCTAGTATCTAATGTCTTATAAAGCAGCTGTATGCCAGGAAATGGTCTTTTTCTCCTTAGCATCATAACTGATGCCCGGTTATGGAATTAGGCCAACAATGTATTATTTAGTAGTTCTTATTAAAAGCCACTATGCAAGGCATTAATATGAAGATTGTCGATTTGTCAAATGAATAATTTAGAACTAACCTTAATGATAACAATAGTGGGGACTTGATTCCAAGTGGAGCAGCCCATGAATATCTTACTTCAAGTGAAAAAGTTCAAAGATACAGCCATCTCTGGTTAAAAACACTGAACATTACTGGCATAGCCACAGCCTAATTACTGCAGTACTGGTGCTGTTCTAGTTTTCTTTTCTCTACAAAAGGGTTAATAAAACATTTTCAGTTGTTCATCTTTAGTTAACCTAGAAACTGCGTAATACTGAATCAAAGAGCGTGAAATGTGCATGTTGAGGAAGTACATGCAGTAGCTGTTTGTTGTGGCCTGGGGGAGCCCACTGATTGCAAGCACATCAGCAGGCAAGGAGCCTTCTCTGTTGCCAGCCTTTTCGAGACCACAGGCCTCTGGAGGAGGCTGGCTGTGCAGGCAGACGGCCAATCCAATTGATGGCAGGCTGGGCACACCAATTGGTTATCGTCCCCCCCCCCCCACTCTGCACATCACCATCACAGAGTGGAAAGACATCCTCCAACCCCTCCCCTCCCCCACTGCCCTTGTATTCAAGAGCTCATGCAGCCCAGAAAGAAAATCCTGCAGCTTCCATTTCTTCTCCAGTGTCCTTTATTACGTCATAAATGCAAACCATTTGAGCAGCTCTCCGTGCACAGAGCCCAGCTGTGCTGAAATGGGTGCCAGCAGACAGAGATGCACTAAAGCTCTGTGTATACTCACAGTACAATAAGGTGTGTGACTTGTAAATATTTACTTACAGACGCACACGCAAAAGCACGCTGGCAGACCAAGACCCACTGAATCTCCGGTCTATATTAAGAGGTCACATCACAGGATGCTTAATTCAGCCTTAGAAACAGAGTTCTGAAAACACTTAAAGGACTTCCTGATTGTGTCAGAGTAGTCATACTTCAGTTATAGATACACTGGTGTTCAGACCTTTATTGCTTTGCACTTCAGATATAGTCATATTAAACTGCAACAGGGTATTGTCATTACAGCCTAAAGGTACAGTAAATAAGCTTTAAATGTCAGAGGTCAGGCCAGCAGCAGGCAATAGATGGAATCCTGAAATACAGAGCAGAAGAGTGTTTGCTTCTATACAGTATGTTTAACACGGGTGTGCCTACAAACCTACTGCCATCACAGAACAGGCAGGTTTCCATGTGCGTGTTGGACAGTATGCTTCCTGCACACCTACAGACCAGGCCGTGCTGCTGCCTCAATAGAAGATGAAAGGTGCAACTCCCTGAGCATTCATTGGAGTTCAGGGTGAAACTCGATCAACCTTGGTATAGCTCAAGTGCTGCCAGGAGGCACGAAGGGTCAGCAGTGCACAGGCCTGTAAAAGTCTGTGAACATTCTCAGTTTTATTACAGAGAGTAATAATAATAATAATAATAACTCCTGATATAGATTCCAGCCTGGGGTGCCTTCTCTTTGAGCGTTCTCTCTGTGTTTGTCTGGGTGTCCTCTGGATGCTTCAGACATGCTGGCTAGTTTTAAAAAGTGTCTTTAAATCTGTGTGAGCTTGTGTCTGTGCTCTGCAATGAATCAGAATCTGATCTGGGTAGCTTCTCCCCATGCCCCATTCTTGCCAGACTGCTGTGACTCATAGCAAGAATAAGTCGTTTTCTGAGGATGGATGGAGTATCACACATACTGCAACTTGGCTGTTGGCATGTACATTGCAGGGATTGTAAATATGGCACTGTTCTTCATTAGGATGAGAGCCTTTCCCATCCCACTGATGTGTATTTCACTGAAGTGCGTTTCCTTATGTGTTGTAGGACACTGCAGGCCAGGAGAGGTACAGGACCATCACAACTGCCTACTACAGAGGGGCAATGGGTTTCATTCTGATGTATGACATCACCAATGAGGAGTCTTTCAGCGCTGTCCAGGACTGGTACGTGTGCAGAGGGTTTATGCATATCAAACTCTCCCCAACTCAAAAAAAACTGGAAGGAAATAGTTGAAGACTTAAGCCTCTAGATAGATAAAAGGTTGGCAGACATTCCTATTTGTAGATTGCAAGAAAAATAAAGGTTCATTCCCAGACTAGGGGTAGTCCTGTCTGTGTGGAGTTTGCATGTTCTCCCCATGTTCTCATGGGGTTCCTCTGGATGCTCTGGTTTCCTCCCACGGTCCAAAAAACAGGCTGGGAGGTTAGCTGGCCTCTGGGAGCATCTGGGAAAATTGGCCCTGGTGTGAGTGTGTGTGTGGCTACCAGTCCAGGGTGTAGTCTGCCTCGTGCCCTTTGCTTGCTGGGATAGGCTTCAGCTCCCCCGTGACCTCGAATTGGAAGAAGCTGTTAACAGATGGATGGATGGGTTGGAGATTTTAAGTTACTTAAGAAATGCAGTAGTTAAAGAGACCCCTCCTCAGAAAGTTCAAATGAAACCTGCTAGGTCTGTGAAAGGTTCGGTTCGTGAACCGGTTGCCCAAGAAGACAAACGCCCAACAGGCGTGGGTGTGCCCAGGACCGGGCCTGGGAACCCCTGACTTCATTATCCCATACGGGCTTTTTTCCTGGCTCAGAAAAGGCTGATGGATTAGGATGTGGATTCCATGGCTGATAATGTGACTCTTGGATCACATTCTGGGCAGGTCCACGCAAATCAAGACGTACTCCTGGGACAACGCTCAGGTCCTTCTGGTGGGTAATAAGTGTGACATGGAGGACGAGAGAATCGTAGCGGCGGAGAGAGGCAGGCAGCTGGCGGAACACCTAGGTGAGTAACGACCCGCCTCCGCTTGTCCGAGCTGGTCTGCAGCCAGACCTACTGTCCCAAGACACGGAAACCTCTGGAGCACAGAGAAGGGTCCCTGTTGGATCCCCCTGAAGAGCCAAGATCCTGGAGTGTCTAGAAGCTGTGTTGTACCTTACTGTATGGATATTCCCCTTAGTCTGAAAAGGGCATTTCCTTACTGTTCCTGTGATAAATCCTTGTATTATGATAGGTTTCTTTTTCAACTCCCAAACAAATGTAACTATGTAACACTATGTTACAAATGAGTTGAGGCCATACTTCCCATCTAGCATATACAGTAGTAGCTTATCCATCCGAGGATCTCCAGCTGCTTCTTGCAGGAGACCAGGGAATCTGCTTCAGGTGTGTGGCAGTGCGATTTGGTTCATATACTCACAACCCCTTTGGGTCAAGAAAAGCTTCCTTACTGCCGTCTTAAAAGCACTCTCTCCCTTATCTTATTTCTTGCCTGCGCGCTACTTTCCACCCAGCCACTGGGAGCAAACGCCCAGGAACGGCAGCAGAAGACTAAGATGGGGGAGGTGGATGCTTGTCATCCTGCTGGACGGGCTAAAACAAAAAAACGAAAACAAAAAAGCTTCTTCGTTCCGCCGCCCCCGCGAAACGCCTCCGTCTCTTTCAGGGTTCGAGTTCTTCGAGGCCAGCGCCAAGGACAACATCAACGTCAAGCAGACGTTCGAGCGGCTGGTGGACATCATCTGCGAGAAGATGTCGGAAAGCCTGGACACGGCCGACCCGGCCGTCACGGGGGCCAAGCAGGGCCCCCAGCTCACCGAGCAGCCGGCACCCCCTCACCAGGACTGTGCCTGCTGAAGAGCCGCCCCCCACCACCACCACCGCGAGAGCGCCAGGCAGCAGGGCCGGGTATGGGAGGTCATCAAGCTCGCCCCCTCCCTCCCTCCCTCCCTCCCAGGCTGCTGTGTCCTCTGGCTTTTCGTTCTTCTCAACTAGTCTAACGATTTCCAACCTCGATAACATCCACTTCCCTTTGCAGGGGGGGCGGTTTAGCCACGCGTTTTGTAGGCAGCCTCCCTATAATCAGGTGTAGAGATCCGTTTATCAACACCAGATCTGGGGGGACGAAAAGGTCTCAAGAGTACACAAGCAGTGTGACACTATCGGAACCTCCGTCACTTGAGTTTAAATGATGTAGGACACACAAGGTGTAAGACCTCCTTTCCTTGAAATTCCACATCCACCCCCTGTGATCCCAAGGATTTTCCATGTCTGTATCATGCTGTTACATTTCGTGAAGTCCTGGAACTGTAATTGTTTTTTTTTTTGTAATCTTGTTTCAGTACATTCTATGAACAAATTCTATAGGAACATTTGTGTACAACAAAAACAAAACAAGTAGGGTATCTTTTAACAGCTTTATGTTTGAGATGTGTATATACTGGGCATATAGTATATCTATAGATATAAATTTTAATAAAGTATATGAAGATAAAGTACTACTAATAATTTAAGAAATCTATAAATCAGACAAGTTCTATGTTAAATCAGAGGCCTAGGTTACAGATGTCTTGTTATTTTGTAGTGAAATGTAACTAAGTTTCTGCAGATCCACCCAGAGGAACCTCAGATTAGTTTTACAGTGGATGTATATATCCTGTCATGTCGTAAAGTCTTAAGAGAAACTTGGTAATCTATCCTGTGGTATTTAGAAGGTTTTGTAGAACGCCAACACATCCATTTCCAGTTTGAAAAATATTCCACTCACATCCACAAAAAATGGTGAGATCAAAACCAGCCTTTTCTAAAAGTCACTGTTTAAATTATTTTATATGTGCGGAATTTAGGAGGTTGAAGCAGTACTGGTCTGGTCTTCTTTAACTTTCAGTAGTGTAAGCCACAAATAGACAGGGCTATTCAAATGAGACAAAAATACTCTAAGAATCAAGAACAGTATTCAGTGAATGAAATACCAAGAGTTCAACAAAAAAAACTGTTTCTGAACATGTTATTATTATGAATATATATTATTTATTACTGACAGTATATTGCATGTTTTTTAGCAGCTGTTATGCTTTCAGATTCCATGTTTCTTTGGTCTGAGCATGAGGTCTCAATGGATTATTACCTGAAATCTAGAAAACCTTGTTCTGTTAGTCACAGTCCGGTCTTGTTCTTGCTCACTGGCCTCCCACTGCATGATGGGTAATGCAGGCATTAGTCACTGGGTTATGGCGTAACTGAAAGGCTGATTTCCCTTCTGCCTGCCAAGTGTCAACACCATTGCTTATTCACTTAATAGAACAAAACTTTTAACAGCAGGGGCTTTAATGCACTTTTAGAAAAGGCATCACTGTCTTCTCAGAACAAAGCATGTCCAAACTTTAGAGTTGTCCAAGGGCTAGCAGCTGGGCAAGAGAAAACCTAGGTTTCTCAGAACCATGGCATGGTTGAACAGGTTAGGAGCAGGGAAGGTTGCTGGCCAGAGAGTGTGGATTAGATGAAAAGTGTTCAAAGCTGTGTTATTCCTGTTTTGCTAGAGAAGCTCTGAATGCGGGACTGTGCTGATTTTATCTTTGTTATTTTTGTTATTGTGATTTTGAACAGCATGCCTGAAAAGAGGGGGGCAAACACTGTCTCATGTAATTCAGATCTTGTTTAGGCTTCAAGTTGGAGATTAAAAGAGAAATGTGTGGTGCAAATCTGGGTGGCTGTTTGCCTTTTGTAAAAGAATTATCTAAAAGCAAAAACAACTGCTCAGGCATTCTTTCAGAGGATGACCCCACCAGGTTGTCTGAGTACGACATAACCACATGTGCCAATCTGCAAGGACGTAATACCTACTGTAGTTTCAGTCTGCAAGTGAAACTGAGATTGCGTTGATATCACTGCAGGCTTCGTGACCACTGATTTCCTCTGCAGGCAAGACTTCCTTCTGTGATCAGACATTCATAACAAAGTTTTTGGTTGTTTTTTTTTTACATTGTGTTAATTTCCTTTAAAATATTGTTAAAAGCAGCTGGTATCATGTTGCATACAAAGACTGGACAGGAATCAAGTCCAGTGCTTTTTTCCTTACCCCTTCTGATTCTAAACGGCTGCATTTGCATGTTCTCTTCGTCCAAACCTAAGTCGTGTCTCTTGCATTGCATGTTAAACATGGTGCTCCAGTTTTCCAATGGCTTTGGGGCTCTGGCATACAAACAGAAAAGCTTTTTAACCAGCCTTGGTCCAGACTGCTAGCGAAAAAGGACACAAAAAGCAGAAGATTATATGATAGTGAGCTGTCATTTCAAAAAAGGGGTTTTAGCACTGACCTGAAGTTGAGAGTTTCAAATCATATTAGAATTCTCCAAAGCTTAGGAGTGAAAATTGAAGTCCTGATGCTGCACTAATTTGTAGGGAAGGTCACAGGGTCGTCTTGAAGAGAACAAGTTCCAACAAGATGGTAAAGAACTAAGAGAGAACAGGGTAATCATGGAATAATTTGGGGTTTGGCCTGCTACTTCAACTCATATAGGAAGACATTCCTGAACGCAAGACATGCACCATTGTAGAACAGTCTCTCTGTTTAATCAAACTGTGTATGTAATAAGATTCTATTGCAATTCAGAACATACTCTAGTATTTTTTTCTACATTTGTAAAAGCCTTGTTTTTTCTTTTACTACTGATAGGCGTCTGTACACTTACCAGGCTGTCAGTAACCTCTCTCCTGTCCTGCTGCTCCTACAGTAGAGCTGAGATGCATCTCCTCCAGCTTCTCCCTCCTCTTCTTCGTCTTCCTCTCTGTAAATAAGAATTGTAAATAAGCTTAGTCAGTGTTGCCTGTGTGAATTGTGTTGTAATGACCCGAGCTTGTGACAGGCTTTATGTTCTAAACCTGCTTGTAAACGATTGTGTCACTTAATTAAAAAGCAATATCTAATATTAGAAAAAAACAAGGTTGTCAACAGTAGCTCAGAGCCCGGGTGAGACAGCAAAAGTGGAAAAAAAGAAGGCAGGAGGCTCTTTGGGCACCGCAGATGTTCAGTGATTTATAGAGGAATTAAAAGAGAAGGATTTAGTTATGGGTAGCACAGGGGGCAAAGTGGAAAGCATTGCTGCCTTGCAATTCTGGAATCCTGGGTTCTGTTCCCGACCTGGGGTCTACCTGTGTGGAGTTTGTACGTTCTCCCCCGTTCATGTAGGTTTCGGCCGAGTTCTCTGGTCTCCTCCCATTGTCCAAAGACATACTGAGAGGTAAGATGGCGTCAAGGATACATGTCTGTATTTCCTGCAGCTGCCATCCCACCAAGGGCGTACCCTGTCTTGAGCCCGTAGCTTGCTAGGCTAGGCTCCAGCTCCGGTCCCCTGTGAGCCCGATCTGAAAGAAGTGATCAGAAAAGGGATGGGTGGGCGGTTGGATTTTGTTACTACTCATTTCTGGCCTCTAATTATGTAAGGCCAGTATTTATTAACACCCAATTGCCAATGTAATATTGGAATTTAGCCACCTAAAAAGCGGACACAAGAAAAAAATCCCCTTAATAGCACAATGTAAACAGTTTGTTTTTCTGCGGGGGGGGAGTGCAGAAATGTGTAGTTTTGCTGCTTTCGGGATATGTGACTGTTTGTACCTGCTGCAGTTTAGTATGACCGATACTGTGACACACAACGATGGACCCGTTCTTGACATGTGGTCAGTAATAATCTGCAAGAGGGACACTGGCAAAACCTATAGCAGAGCAGACCAGGAACTGAGGGACAAGCCTAGAGCCAGCTGCCTCGATTGTGACGCTTGTTCAAGTGGCCTGAGAGCAATTCGAGACTTGTGTGTGACTAACGGAGTTTATAACAAACCTTCAGGAGGGGTGACAACAGCCAAGTTCAATCAGCCCCCGCTGCCAATAATTCGTAATCATGCCTGATGTCATTTCCTCGCCTTAAACTATAAATATTATACCTAAGCCCCCTTTTCACTCTTGCTTTTGTGTTGCATCCCTCCTTCACACTTCACCTCCTCACTCTGTATGGAGATTCCAGCCTCCTTGTCCTACAGCCAGGAGGGTAGCCTACAATTAAAGTGGGTTTAGCCAATTTGACTTCACTAAAAACCGCTCAATACACTTCTTCAATACGCTTAATTTTGGGGGGGAGGGCGTTGTTATTCCTAGTGATTTTTAGGAATTCACTATTCACTATAGGCTTTTTTTTGCACTACAGAGAAATCTGAACACTAGCCGAAGCCTGACTTCCTTGAGTTGTCCTTTCTTTCCGCAGGATGGTTTAATATTTGGACTTGAGCTGCTTTTGTTTTTATATTGTGTAATGGTGAGAGTTATACATGGGTAGAAACCAAAGCAAACTGAAATTCTGCGGATCTGAGACTAGGGTAGGTAAGACCAGTAAGGGCTTGTGCTGAAGCAATGTACTGGCCTTAGAAATAGCCTAGGCAAACGTATGGATTTCTTTTTAGTTTACAACTTGACTGTTAAGCTACTGTTGAACAACCTTCTCATAAGAGTTCAGTTCTGTTTTCTGTGGGAAATGTGTTGTAATTGACAAAACCTGTGGCTTTTATTTTGAGTGTTGCTCGTTGCAATTTTTCCCCCAATTATGCATCAACTCTGAAAGCACTGATAAAAAGGAATTGGTTAAATTGGTTTACATGGATTTTTTTATTTTTCTTTATGTAGGGCGGGGGGGAATATCTAAAAAAAAATTAAAAAAACATATCTTATCATGCCGTAGTTTACACAATGAGTGTAAGAAAAAATAAAGTGTCAAACCTCTTAGATGGTGAACATTTCCTAATCTGCTGTAAATGTTGTGGAAAGTCAATAAAAATTCCCAAACAAAAAATGCTCAGCCAGAGGTGTGGTTCCTGTTACTCACCGTGCAATCTTTTTAGACACATGCTTTAAGACGCTTGGTGGGGCCTGAGGACTCGGGAGCGAATGTAAGCGAGACCCGATCAATGAGAAAACAATATGATCGTTGCTCGGCGAGGAGTTGCTGGGAAATCTGACACTGCTGCTGGTACAACACCGCTCCTGAGCCTTCTGAGCTGCCCTCGCGGTTTAGGTTTGGCAGGGCGCCCCAGTTGCCCCCTAATGACCTCCTTATCGACGCTGAGCCACGGCCACAAAGAGCCAGGTCTACAGCTCCTCTAAACGTAACGCTCACACTCTGCCACGCGTTAAGCCTATTTAAACTGATCCACAGCCTCGGCTTTTATTTATAGTCCGGTATCTCTGATGCCAGAGCTCTGGGTCAGACAAAGCCAACAGCCCATCTGCCGCGCCTCCTGAGCGGAGCTGACCGGTCAGAATACTAGGCCTCCTGTCACCCCCCTGCACCATTCCCTCCCACCTGCCTGCCCTCCAGCTGCAGTTCATTAATAAACACATAGGCGCTTCTGGAGCTAGAGCAGTGTAGGTGCCTCGTGACAACTGCCAGGCTGTCCCAGTAGACAACAATAAAAATGAAACCCCCCCCAGAGAACACTCTGGAAATGAATTCTTAATCAAATTACAGAACTTACTTCACCCACCTATAGAACTGAATGCAATGTAATTAAGTGATGCAAAGGTGCTCTTTTGAAAGGGGATACGTCCCCTGTATCTGTGATGCCCTGGGCTGAAAGGTCAGGGAAGAAGGTCCCTCCTCTCCATTCACGCTCAGAGTCTCACTTCCTCTCCCTTTATAAACATGGGGTCCATGCTTCCCAGCATCCACTGCCCTGCAGCCGTCCCGTTTCCCCCCCAGCCCCCCCCAGCTCCAGCTCTTTCACCACAAGGAAGATGGGGGCAGGGTTAACTATACCGGGTCGATGCTACGTTGCCAAGCGGTTTTCATGCCAAAGAATGCTGTAATCCTTTTCCATAACTAAGCTGACACACTAAGTTGTGGTGCGTCTAATCTCCCGAACAAAAGGCAAAAGAAAACCAGCCATGTAACGAGTGCCGTGCTTTTAAACCAGCTAAATAAATACCACCCGTCAACCACACCCAGCACCTAGATCGTTATATTAGCTGTGCTATGCAAACTATTCATGAGGTGGTACTGTGGTACAGCAAAGGCTGTGTCAACCAGGGCCGAGACCATGACTTTCCATCCTCACTTCTACCTCCTCATTCCGGTCAAAAAATGATAAATAGACTGTAAAAAAAAAAGGCGGCATCCTTCGGATGAGATGTAAAACTGAATCTCGGAAAAGAGCAGTTGTGGTACCCTGGTGCCCTGGCCACATTTCCTCCCGGCCTTCACCAATCACAATTTCATAACAATCCCCATCTATGAATGAACTTCAGTACTCTGTTCTCCCTTCCACTGATAGCTGGTGTGTGGAGAGTGTGCTGTACTTTCACCGCCATTGCACACAGTTTCTGGTGGAGCATTACCTGTAAAGAGCCTTGAGCGTTCAGAAAAGTGCTATCTACAGTAAGCGTAAGGATTATTATTAAAAAGAAACGCAATGTCTTAGACCACTTCCCAATATTGCCTTTTAACCTGGTTGCCCCTGGGCAGGAGTAAGCAGAGAATGCAATTGTGTTTTTGGACTTGTTTCTGTACTAATGGGTAATACAAGGTGCAAGGTCTCAGTACCAGGTTTATTTTACCATTTCTTCATTTTGCCTATGTATGCTTGCACCAGTAGTCAAGTATTGACCCCAGCTGAATAGTTCCAAACAATCACCTGCCATGTTTAGAAGAGGCCTAAAAGCTGTATTAAGGAGGCTCCTGTCTCTATTTCTATGTAGCTTAATTCCAACTGTTTAAGACTTGTTAAAAAAAAATTGTTACATTACAACGCTATAAACAAACCAGCTGAGTGATGGAGATGTGAAAAATCTCCCATCGCCCACCCTCTCAAACACTGCCTCACTAAACTAGTGCGCAGAGCTGAGCAGATTGCATCTACCCACTCCCCACAAAAAGAGGTGAATTAAAGCCAAAGATTTTTTATTAAATATTTTGCAAGCAATCTATTTTTACACAAGGGGGATTGAAACAGAAATAATTACAAGGGCTTAAGCAGGGATATGGACTTCTTCCAACAGAATATTTATGGCAAACAGAAGATGTAGAGGGAAATGTCTTTTTTGAATAGAGAAGGTACTCATGCAAGATCATAATTAAAATGCCAAATTAATTGGTGGTTGGGCCATGCAACCATAGAGCAAGTTACAGTTAAGGCTATATACCTGCAAACTGTTTAGCAGATTAAGAAAAGGATCATCTTCGTCTGTCCATTACAACTGATCTTCTTTGGGAGCTCTCAGCATGCAATCCAATTAAGGTCTATAAATTATATGAGCTGTCAGAATGCTCTATGCACATGTAGAGATTCAGTGGGTTCTGCAGCTCCTCAGCTCTCAAAGTGGGATTCTCTAGAAATCATTATATTAAAGGAAATCTTCGCACGTTGTTGAACCCTGCGATGTTGAACCTGTCGTAACCTGTTACTCTTTCCCCTTTCACAGGATGTGGACTGGCAAAAACAGGACTAATAAGGAGCTGTACTTCCAAAAACAAAAAATTTATAAATTAAAAAACGCTCTGGCACAACAAGCAGTGGCACTGCCACCTCACTGTCCTTGCACTTCGGTCTGCAATGCCATTTTCTTCCCTAACAAGGTTAGCCAGAAACCACAACACCTTTTTCTAAAAAGCGTCAGTAACACTGTCTCTCCCTTTCCCTTGGTTATGAACTCTGCGTCACACGTCATATTACCCTGATACAGCGTGTTAACATTAAGGAGCAAAATTATAAAGTAAAACAACCTCCAGTCACCCTATTAAATAGCCATCAATTAAAAATATCAATTCATCTTCACAATGAAAATTCAAATGCATTTCAACCGATAACGCAAGGAGATGCTAAGGGCTTTTTTAATTAAGCAGGTCTGATTATAACCTGATTATTAACAAACAATATACACTTTTCAAGTTTAGAATAACACGACAGGTTTTGCAAGAAGAAATACATTTAAAATAATTTACCCCATAGATATATAATTGTTTACCCAACGATTTACAGATAATACTCGTTTAACACCAATAACAATGAATTTCCGGCAAATTTAAGTATTTATATAAAATCGATTCACACTAAGGTTTCTGTATGGTAGATTTCAAATGATATATTGTAGAAATTATAAACACTGACCGCTTGTTTAATCTCAGTTTTTACACCTGCTCATATACAGACAACACTATAATGTCATGCAGCTCCATTACTTTGTTTGTGATCTACCTGGGGAAAACAGGACTCCCATGAAAGAAGGATGTGTTATAATAGAGCTCCCCCTACAGTTGAGAGGAGAGAGAAACAATGACAAAACATTATATAAGGCAACACGGTACAGATCCATAGTAGAGAACAGAATGAGGAATCTAGAGCTTCTCTTCCAAGCGCTGTGCTACAGGTAAGGGCACCTCTGTTTCCTGGTCCTCATTTACACTGCTGCTGGAGTCATGGGTGAGGTCACCTCTTTTGGCACTGTCCTGATAAAGACACAACAGAGCAACAGAAACCATGAACTGCAGTGATTGCCGCCATCAATTACATGTGCATATTTTCACATACCAAGAACCAATCTAGGTAAGCTGAAAGACCTCATATTGTCTTGCATGCTTGATGTTCATGTGGTTAGGGTACGCATGACCCAGTTACGTAAGTCTTTACAGTGTGTGGGGAATTGCTATACGAAGTGGACAAAGTCCATCTCACCTGATGAGCGAAAACAAAGGGGTTTAACAACTTGCACAGGTCAATACACACACACACACACACACACACACACACACACACACACACACACACACACACACACACCAGTGAGAGACGAATACAAACACAGGCCAGGAAAAAAAACCCCAGAAACGGGAATGACTTACTCTGTGCTTCAGGTAGGAGAGGTAGGTGTCCCAGCCAAGTGTGATTATGTTGACATACAGGACCCGGAATTTGGAAGGCAGGAAGTAGAAGTTCAGCATCTGTGCTGGTGGCCAAACGCACCAATCTGCCTAAAGGAATTCCAGAGAATTTAATCAAAATCAGCCAGGCATGGCAGGGCGCAGTCCGAAAATCACCTAATGTCTCTTCCCAAGTTTACGGTTTGTTAGAAAGGATTTGTCATGTGTTTACCTTGTAAAACTCCCAGAACTTCTCCCTGAATTCCTCCCAGCTTTCCTGCACGGTGTGGCCTTCCATCACTCCCATTCCTGAGAAAAGAACCGTCTGTTAACAAACGGGGAGAAACGGAGCAGAGCACCTTCCGGCAACTCAAGTTACAACACTGGAATCCTTCCACGGCAACCCAATTAGAGCACAAAAAAAAAACAAAAGTCATTTTGCTAGAAAATTCACCTGAGGGCTTTCACCATAAGCAGTGCTAATGCGTTCTAATTTAAAATATAAATCCATCGCAAACAATAAGGTTATGATTTTTTTATAGTAAACATTTCACTAGGTGGAGTGCTTATAAAGTTCACTTCACTGGCCGAGCTGGCATGGAAGAAGCACAGAGCACCACAGATCGGATTGCTAGCTGTACTAAACCGGACACACAGTGTACTGCATTCAAGCACCAGCTGATCCCCGGACGTGAAGGCTGTACTGAATGGGGAAGCAAGAAGGCTCTCACTGCACAGCCGACAAGATCCATTTCAGAGTTTCCCAGCTGTAGACTTTTGTGCACATTGTACATGGAAAGCAATAGATTTGATGTTACTTAACTCCACACATTTAATATTTAGCACCCCACATATTCAGTGCTTGTGAACTGTGGCAAATTATGTCACTCCATCTAAGTTAATAAGGCTGAAACAACACATGCCTCTTGCTCGCTTGTTGACGTTATCAAACAAACGTAGTGCCTTTGCTGTGGTCTGTGTTTCTAAACACTGCTTCTGGGAGGATCAGGCTTTTGATCTAGCCAAATTCTTCATTTTTAAAAATGCTTTCCGCTCTTAACAAGATTAGTTGGATTTTTTAATGGCCAGCAACCCTGCACCAGTTTCTGAGTTTCAGAATGCCCCTCATTCAGATGTGCTGTGCAGTGTAACCATGTTGACTTCTGCAGAGAAACAAAAACGCCCTTTGTAGGAGTGTTTCACACATAGACATTTCCACCCGTGTCCCTTCATCAGAAATTGATGCCCTGCTGAGAACCGTTTAGTTAGAATTAGGGGAGACCTAAAACCCACATTAAGAAGTGACTGTAGATCTTAATGCTGAATATTGGAGACAAACGTGAACAAAGGGGATTTTTTAAACCAAAGACCAAGCGCAGAAATACCTAAAACGAGTGTGCAGATCAATCCCCATGTGGCAGGAACGGTGAACCTGAAGGTCTGTAGGACTACAGGGTTTTAATTAAAATACCTCATCTTACCTAAGAAATACCAAACTCCAAGAGTAGGAGACGCCACCAGTTGGTCAACAAGAACTTTCTTGCTGACAGTTTGCAAAGCCTTCCCCACATACACTCTGTCCAGCCACAGGTACCAGTAGTGCAGGACAGGACCCATGGAACAACCAACAGCAAACATGCGCCCTGCAAGAGAGAATTAATCATTACTCCGCCTAATCAGACTCCTTAAACCTTGAGAGGCACAAGAATTGCATCTGCAATTCAGGTCGTTTATCTTACTTTGATGCTTCTTATATTATGTACAGTACTTATTTTTCATGTGCTCTAGAGGGAACACGGCGAGAGTGGCCGTGTTTTTCTTTTTGTTTTCTTCAATTAACTTAATGATTAACCTGCAAAAAAGGCAATCAGATTCAAGGTGCAAAAGGCAAAGAGCAGGTGCTAATTAACTGCATCACCTTTTGTGATTTGGTAACGATACCTGGCGGTTTCAATAAAAGGGGTAAATAAAATCATCATCATCCTCTAAGCAGCTCTCCAGGCTCACCTGTCCGGAACCAGTCCCGTGTCCTGCCCGGATCCCTCCTCTTCTCTCGGGTCTGCTGGATGAAGTCTCCTGCTGCCAGCATTCCTCCGCAGCTCACCGTGTTAGTGACGAGGAGGAACCTGCCTCTGAAGAGCGGTTTCCAGGAGCCAGAAATCCGGATAAGCAGCTCTTTACCCCGGGGGATCATGTTTCCTATCCGCGGGCGAGCTCACAGTTACCATCCACTCAGCAGGACTGGACTAGTGACCTTGCTTTTCAGTGGTTTACTATCATAATTCACCGAGCTTCCGATAGCCTCTTCAAGAACAAGACAAACCGGCTGAAGAAACGTATAGATCTTGATATTGACAGTAATTAAATATTTGCTACAGCTAAGTCCCAGTAGCTTCCTACAGTAGACACGAGAACAACGGAACCATATACGCGAAATCTTGTTCTTGTTTGGAAAAAATAACCTTTTGGATCCCAAACGTTACGAAAACTTTCGTCTCATAAGCCGCATTGCAGCCGGTTCACGCAAATACTTCTTCCATAACTCGTGTTCTCTACTTCCTGATCCAAACAGGACATACGTAGTTTTATGTTAATTAAATACCAAACCAATAAGAAACGAAAGTAGAAATTACGCAACCAGAGGTAGCTTTTTTAATTTTTGTATTTATGCATAAATAATAACAAAACTTACAATACAAACAAGAGTACATGTAACATTTACATGTACATATAACAAGACAAAAACATCGCCAGGGGTACATAATAAAAAATAAATTCAAATTATGAAAAAAGTGTAAACAAATTAAAAATAACATCCGCACCGCTATCGTATTTTTTACATTTTGAAATAGTCTGCAGATACTCCTTTAAATCCATTTTAAAATGCTCAAAGGACCAGAACTATTTGTAGTACAGTATACAATGAAGAACCGAAGAA